TTTAGTTTTGGGGGCAGCGGAAGGTGGGGGGGGGGGGGGACGGGGCTGGCGTGGGGGGATCCTGCTCCCAGGGCTGGGTTTGCTGCTGGGCTGCAGGCCAAGGGAGGTGGAGGTTGGGTCTGGTCCAGCTCGGTGGCCTCGTGTGTCTCCAGAAATAGTGAGAAGAGGGTTGGGAACAGAGTCCCAGCTCCTGGCACGGGGAGATGTTTCCTGCCACCGTGGGAGCAGCCGCTCGGGTGCCGCCTGCAGGGGCTCTGATGGTCCCCTGAGCTGCCCCTCTTCATGGGGGCATCTTCTTTACCTGCCCTTGGGAGAAAATGCCAACCTGCCTGGACACTGCAGACAGCAAATGGGGCAATTAATAGTACACGGGCAATTAATGTCCTGTCTTGGGCTGCTGTTGCTGTCGGAAACCCCAGAATCACAGGGTGGTTTTCAGTGGGAAGGGACCTTAAAGCTCATCCAGTTCCAACTCCCCTGCATGGGCAGGGACACCTCCCAGCAGCCCAGGCTGCTCCAATCCCCATCCAACCTGCCCTTCAACACCCCCAGGGATGGGGCAGCCACAGCTTCCCTGGGCAACCTGGGCCAGGCTCTCCCCACCCTCACAGCCCAGAATTTCTCCCTCCCATCTCAGCTCCAGCTCCCTCTGCCAGCTGGAAACCCTTCCCCCTGCTCCCATCCCTCCCTGCCCTTGTCCCAAGCCCCTCCCCAGCTTTCCTGGAGCCCCTTCAGGCACTGGAAGCTGCTCTAAGGTCTCCCTGGAGCCTTCTCTTCTCCAGGCTGAACACCCCAACTCTCCCAGCCTGGCTCCAGAGCAGAGACACACCCAGTGAAACCCCCAACCCCTCATGTCTCTGTTTGCTCCATTGGCAAAGAAAAGCCCTTCAGAGCTTTGTTTTATGGCTCCTGGTTCCTCAGCCTGGACTTTCAGGTCCTTTTCCTTGATAAGAAGGGCTCCTTTGCCCTCCTGACCCCCCGTTGCCCTTCACCCCCAGGTTTTTGGGAGAGGCCCGGGTGCCCCTGCGGGATGTCCTCTCCTCCCCCAGCCTGGCAGCCTCCTACAACCTCCCCTTGCTGGACACCAAGAAGCAGAGCACAGGGGTGAGTCTTTGCCTGGGGAACCAGTGAAGCCAGTCTGAGCAACGTCCCTGCCAGTTGCAGCTCCCATTTGGAGCCCAGCTGTCCCATTCTGGGCTCTCTGGCTTTGAGATGTACCTTTCAAGGAGTGACCCCAGCAGCCTGGGGATGGGTCAAACCCCTTTGCAGGGCAGATATTGGCAGGGGCTGGAGCTCGTGCACCCATGGATGGGGATGTCCAGACTGGGTGGCCGGTGGGGGGGGGCACTGGGGACACTCCTCCCTGCTCCCCTCTGCTGGAGCCTGTCCCTTGGCTTCTCCCTCCCTCCCACTCCCTTCCTGGTGGCTGCAGCATCTTGCCCTGGCTCAGCCCATCCTGGTTCTGCCATCTGGTGGGATGGGGACTGGATGGTCACTCTGCTGGGAGCCCACACATCCCTGGTGATCCTGCCCTGTCCCTTTTTCCCCAGCACTTCCCAAGTTCCACCCCTTCAGCTGCTTCCCACCCAAGCAGCCGAGGCCCCGGCTCTGGGGCTCAGGCATTTCTGGGCTCCCCCATCTAATGGTTGTTTCCTATTTTCCAGGCTTTCCTTGTCCTCCAGGTGTCCTACATCCCCCCACCAGGAGCTGTCCCCCTCTTCCCTCCCCCAGCTCCCCCAGAACCAGCACCAGCCTCTTCTGAGCCCGACACAGTCACTGGTAACCAGGAACCCACCCCGGGGGGATCCCCCAGCACCACGTTTTTCCCGGCCAGACCCCTCACCCCGTGATCCCACCTTGCCCTCATCTTCCATCTCCCTTCTCACCCGTTGCAGAGACTGCTGGAGAGGAGGAGATGGAAGACCAGGTGCCAGCAGGGGAGGAGAGGGAGCTTTCCTCCTCCTCCTCGGGGCCCCCGGGCTCCGAGCCCCCCTC